AAAAAAAAAAAAAAAAAAGCACTCCTTTCAGCCACTTGTGACAACACAGATGAACCCATAGGGCATCCCGATAAGTGAAATAAGCCAGACAGAGAAAGATAAACACTGGATGATCGCATTTATATGTGGACTCAAAAAGAGTCAAACTTAAAGAAATAAGAGACAGGGCACAGTGGCTCACAGCCTACAATCTCAGGAAGACGATGGTGGGAGACTCTGGAAGATGATGGTGGGAGAATGGTTTGAGGCCAGGAATTTGAAACCAGCCTGGGCAACACAGTGAGACTATGACTTATGACTCCACAAAAAATTTAAAAAACAGCTGGTTATAGTGGTGGCACCTGTGGTCCCAGCTACTTGGGAGAATGAGACACAAAGATCCCCTGAGTCCAGGAGTTCAAGACTGCAATAAGCTTTGATCATGCTGTCACACTCCAGCCTGAGTAGCAAACAAACAAAAAACACGAGGGAACTGGAGAATTGAATGGTGATTAACCAGGTTAGGGCTGGGGGATAGTGGCAATGGGGAGAATGGGAAGATGTTGGTTAAAGGGTACAAACTTTCAGTTACCATTTGTAAGATGAGTAAGTTCTGGGGATCTACTGTAAAGCATGCTGAGTATAGCTAATAAAAAGACAATGTTGTATATTTGAAATTTACTAAGAGAGTAGATCTTAAGAGTTCTTACCACAAAAAGGAAAAAATGGTAACTATGTTAGATGATAGATATGTTAACTAACTTTACTGAGGTGATCAGTTTATAACGTATACACGTATACTGTCATTATTTTGTACACATTGAATACACAAAGGTTTGCCAATTACATCTCAATGAAGCTGAGGGGAAAAAAGCACTCCCTTTTCCTTTAGAAAGTAGCGTAGGGCCCTATTTTAACAATAAATTATATAGTCAATCTTGATATACTGAAATTTTATAATATTTGTATGGACAATAAGAGCTTATATGCGCACATGCCTGCATATTCACAAATATGTAGCTATAGTTTTCAAAAAAATAATTATTAAAGTCTAATATTACCACACCCACCCATCTTAAACTGAATTACAAAATTAGAACTCTTAAGATATCGGAACTTTTAGCTCGGCACCTGTGGCTCAAGCGGCTAAGGCACCAGCCACATACACCTAAGGTTGCGGGTTCGAATCCCCAGCCCGGCCCATCAAACAACAATGATGGCTGCAACAAAAAAATGGCCGGGCGTTGTGGCAGGCGCCTGTGGTCCCAGCTACTTGGGAGGCTGAGGCAGG